TCTGATGGCCATCGTTAGCAGATAGAGCTCTTCGGTCTGCTGTGTTGGTTGAGTTTGCTAGTTGAACCATCTTTGTATATCTTTCTTATATCAGGATGACTTAAATTGTCCTTTCCTACAGACGGCGCCAAATGTTTATGCAAAGATTTGCACAACGGGGTTTGCGAACCTAGCTCAAACCCAGTCACCAACTCGGCCCGAACCGTGGAGTGAACCTGCACAAGAGGGCAAACTCTCCGACAATCAAGTCAGTATAGGTCGAACTCAATATTAAGTTCAAGGTGAGATTCGATACCTGAGTATGAAATGAAGCCCTCTATTTATAGGTGGTGGGTCCGACAGTACTCACGACCGGCGATTACTTTTGTTCTTTTTCATGTCGAACCTGTCGGGTTTGAGCAGATCGAACCCATCCAGGTCGAACCACGGCTTTTACACTTAGCCTTGTTTACGGACAAATCTGGTCTCCTCGACAGGTTCGAGGTGGACCTGGAATACTCTTCTATTTCGAAGCTCCAATAAGCGTCCTCCACGTGTCCACGATATTTTTATCCACAAACAAGATTTACAGTTTTTCAGTTGATTTAATCCCTGCATTCCTTTGCTTAAGACTTTTCATATGGCATGCTAGGATGACTATATATATAGCCTTAAGGTTCCTTTTGGTAGACGCAATTAAAGTTGAATGAAAATGGAGTTTTTTCATTAGCTTTGTTGAGAGCTTAATCCCCCGTTTCTGAATTGGTGTTAATCGTACTTCTTGTAGACTGATTCGAATCACGAGTTTAGAACCCAGAGTTTCTTAACAAATAAGGAGAAGATGAAGATAAGAGACTGGTAGAGAAGGGATTACAAAGAAAAAAAATAAAAAAGACAAAACCTGAAACCATGGCATGCTTGAAAAGCTTTCGATTGTCAGAGTGGAAAGAAGACACAAATGGAGAAAATGAAAGAGTTGAAACCCCATTGTTTATCATAAGAGAAGAAATCGTGTTGGCCTAAAAGTTTTGTTTTGTGTTTTTTAATTTTATTTAACCAAGTAGTTGTAATGTGAAGTGATTTTTTTCTTTTATTTAACCAATAATAAAGTTATGGATACTTTCTTAAGGCTCTGGGCTACGCAAGTGAATTTTTTTATTTATTTTCGCCATAACTAATTAATTCAAAGTGTTGGGATTTGTGCACTTAGTCTTATTATTTTTTTTTTCATGTCAGAAAGCTATTATTGTTGAAGGGCTCCGGCTTTAAGCAGTTTGTTCGAGCTGAATCCAAAGCCGACTGATTAACGTTGGTTTTAAGCATGGACTAAATCGAAATCAAAAACTGAACCGTCTTGAAACCAAACCACCATTCCGGTTGGTTCTCTCGATTTAAACAGTTTGGTCGATTTTTCCTTGCACTCCTAAGCAATATTACCAAGAGACCTAAGCTCTTGTCTATCGAACTGCCCCTTTAACGACGAAAGTGACACTGCTCTTGAGAGACCAAAGGAATCAAATTTGAAACTCAAAAAAAGTTAATAAATAGATGCAAAGCAACACAAAGAAAAACTTGAAGCTACATATATATAGTTCAGCTTCCAAAGTAAGTAATTTCACCGGCTACAACGCCACAGCAAGTAGAGTCTAAAGCAATTACTAGTACTAACCATAAACAACGAAACAAAAATGCTCCCAAAACCCCATGCCCATTTTTAGAATCTATTTTTCCCTAAACTCAAAATTCATATCCAACACAAAGAAAAAGACTGTTGAATAGTATTTGTGGCATGATTATGCGCATAAGGGTAGTGGGTAATAGGCTAATAGTGATGGTATGGATGATAAGAATTTGGGAGAGGGTAATAATGGGGCGTTGGTTCATATGGATTGTGAGGGTAATAGGAATTGGAATAGTATCCTTGACGATATGGAGACACTGATGGCTGTGGTTCTGTTCCAAAATTGTAGTGGAGATTGTTGTTATTTTCATTTCCAGCCATCACCCAACAGAGCTCTACATGTTTTCCAGCATCCATGATAATGGCCAGAAGCTTGCTTGGATCTACTCTCCCTGAAACATATGCCATACCTCCTTCTACGTCAATGTTGTATGACACTCCTAAAACCACACAAACACAAACACAAACACAAACTTCAAATTAGAGCATTTGTAATGGCCTCTTTTTTGGTTTCAAGATCAGTTTCAACTGCGTGAGTTTCAACTGCGTACCTTTGATTTCCCTCAACATTCTGGTCATCTTTTTGTGCCATCCCTCGGATCGCGTATCGATTTTCAGCCCGCACGTCTGCAAACACAACACAACCAATAATTTCAGCTTTAACGGAAAAATGGCGAAAAACTCGAAACAAATATTATCAGATTTTTGTCATTCCCACCATGTTTGATTCCATAGGCGGTGGCGTCGCACGACTTTTCTTTCCGTTTACTTTATAGTTCACGCGGTGAATGAATGAATATTAGACGTTGAGAGAGGGTTTCTGATTCTGAAACAAAGGCGCACAACACAAAATAGGATTTACGCTGTTCGGTACCATATTTTCATAAATCAAATAGTGACATATCAACCCTACGGTCATGATATGATACTCACCAATTCACTTGACAATATTTACGACTCTCCACACTTGTCCTACAACATTTACAACTCCCACACCCACAGGAGTCCTACGACATACTTTCTAAATCATTGCTCATGCATCATTGACTCACAAATAAGAGGTATTCGAGAACATAATGCACTAGCTTACAATGTTCATAGCCAGTCTATACATTTACTCAAACAAAGCATCGCCAAGAACCATCTATAACTCATCCTAATCGGTCATAGTCATGGACTAACATTCATAAAGAAATAAGGATTCCTGCTTACAAAAGAGATAATGTTTCACGGTTGGAATCCATTTCAAACACTTAATTAAGACGACAAAGGGGTTTATTATCTATTGAACCTTACTGAAACCTCTTGGGTTAAGGCTGGATGAGTGCCAAAAGTAGTCGGAAAGGGAAGGGATCTGAGCTCGAGGTTGCAGATCTGGTCCTGTTCTCACCGCCGCAGGACTTCGCCGTTGGCGAAGTATGGTCGCGCCGCCGCACGAGGATGAAAGGCTGGGGTTCTCGTTCGCTGCCGTTCGTGGGTCTCCGCCGGAGTCGTCGGTCGTAGAAGGTTGCGCCGCCGCGAATCGTCACCGGCGATGGAGGGACTGGGCGGCTGGTTTCTCACGAGGGTGCGGCTCAGCTTAAGATGGAGAGAGAAAGCTAACCTAGGATTTTTCCTTCTTCACGAAGAAGAAATGATGTTTAATGACCTAGTAAAGGGAAAATTTTAATCTTCCTCCTAAAAATCTTCTTTCCTTAAATTTAAAATACTCTTTTTAGTACCTTTTTTAGCACAACGTGTGTGAGGCGAGAGAATTCAAATTCATCGTATTTTGATAGAGCATATGTCGTTTAACATGAAAATTATAGAATTTTCTAATTTTAAAAGAAAACCAAAAGGCTAAGATTTTTAAAAAAGAAAAAAAAAAGAAAGAAACTAAAAGGTTAAATATGAAACTAAATTTCTAAAACTCGGAACGACTTAAAAAATTCAATTTCCAATTGAATTTAGGTCATGTTTACTACCAGAAATCGGAATAGAAATTAATTGGAATCAAAATTCTAATCAATCGAAATGAGAATATTATTGAAATCAGAATCAGAATTCATTTGATGTGGTTTACTAAAACTGTCTGGAATCGAAATTAGAATCTATGACAATTACTACTATACCTACTATATTCTAACTAATCACAAATGTGTTAATTTTTTTAATTACAATAATAAAAAATATTTTTTTACCAAAACAATTCATTTAATATTAATATTAATAAATAATAAATAATTAAATAAAATTACATCCACTAAAATAATATTTTATTATAACCATCATCATTATTATAATAATTAATAATAATGAATTATATTTTAGAAAATTTGACATTAACTAATAATAACGAAATTAAGTTAAAATATTTTATAATAAACCTTGTGGATATTTCAAAGAATGATTCTAGAATTCGATGGAATCCAAGATATGAATAATTGGTTTACGTTAGGGAAGAAACACACGTATATGTTATATTAGATATTAACTAGTTATGCGAAGCGGTAGCGAAGCTCTGGTGGTGATGAACAACTGGTATTATGCATTCATCTTCCAAGCGTCATTCTCAATGGTTTTTTTACATTTACACTAGGGCTACCCATCATATATGACGATCAATCCGGCAGCATTTGTCTCATCCTCACCGTACCAAGGCAAAAGTGTTGTCTTCACTGGGCCGTCTCGCGAAGATCTTCGATCTGAACCTTCGTGTTGGAAAGACTCGGCTTCAAAACCGTACGTGGAGCTTCCGCCTCATACGGCTCCTCTAAAGCGCGAAGGAAAGGGCTAGGGTTTCCTTTTCTTTTCCTCAGCCAAAACGAATTCGGTTGGTAGGTTGCTGTGAGGAGATCCTTGTGCCAGTGAAGATTGCTTCCAGTGATCGGGAAATAAAAAATAAAAAAACCATTGATTTATTTCCAACACTCCGGATAGGCAGGGTCATAATTTGCAGGAACATTCTATGGGGAGGTAGAGTGAAAGATTCACCAGGTGTGAAATCCCAGACTTGTTAAAGATCTCTTCTATGTTGAGAATCATCTGTGAATCCCCATTTTGATTGACCCTGACCGGTCATTGCCATCCGCCAACCGAACAAGTAAGGGATTCCTCGCCCGGTGTGCTGGCTTGGCTCCTACTTTGACTTCTTGATTGGCTATTGTCAATCACATTAACTAATAAAAGTGATATAAATTTTTACTAAAAGAAAAATTATATTAGTAGTATAAATGAAAAATAAATAAAAAAGTATAAAACAATTAAATAAAAAGGTACGACTCTCATTAATCCTAAGAGAAAAATGGTAAAAATGAAAAGTGAAACCAAATAAATATGTGGGACCCACGGAATAAGGAATGAGAATGAGATTGAGGAGGGTGTACGAGAGGAATGTGATTTTCCCTCTTTAGGAAATGAGAATGAAAAAGGTGGGTGAGTCCCACCATTTAATTCTCATTTGGTAAACACCGAATAAAAAAATTGATTCGCATCCTCGAAGAAACATGGCCTTAGTCTCTTTAATTCCCGAGCACAATCTATATATATATACACACACACTAAAAAGTATGGATGTTTAATAAATGGTTTTTCGGACAATATATTAACCTTCATTTTTTATTAAATACTTAGTATATCCTTTTACTGAATAATAAATTATATTTTGTATTTTTAGTGTGATTTATGCGTGGTCTCACTAGAAAGAAATGAAAAATATAATGGAAAAGTGAAAGGAAAAAAGAGAGAAACAAAAAAAAAATTTAATGACAAAAAATTAGGTAAGGAAGAAAGAGGGAAAGAAGATGATGATTATTAGAAAATAAAACTAATTATAATCCTTTTTTTTCCAATTTAATACCAATGTATCCTTTTACTAAATAGTATATCTATGTTTTCTTTTTTATTTTATTATTATTGTTATTTATTATTTATTATTAATTATTATTATTGTTATTTATTATTTATTATTATTATTATTATTGTTTTTAAGAAAGTGTTTTATTTGTTGTTTAGTATCACATGTGTGGGCTAAAATAAAAAATAAAAATAAAAATAAAAAAGAAAAGGGGAAAGTGTAGGGGAAGAGAGAGTGTCAAAGAAAACCTAAACTAACCTAAACTACTACTCGATATACTTGTAAGGGGAGAAGTTGAATTTTGACTAGAATTTAAGGTACCATAATATGGGCTAATTTTTTAAAATTAGATTTAGTTTAAAATTTAAATGTTCATAAGATTTTGTTAAATTGATTTTGCTTTTTTTTTTAGATTTAAATTTAATTTAAAGTCTGTTTTCTTTAATCAATTTTTTATAATCAGAATTAGGGTAGGTTTCAAAATAATTACAAAAATAGAATAAATAAATCATAGAAATGGGATGCAATTTGATCACAGTGGCAGGCGTGAGCTTGGATTTTTCCGTAAATCATAGCCATCGTCCAAAACTCATGCCAAAATTGTCGTCATTGACATGGCCTGCTGATGGAAGTCTCCTACAGTATACGTGACTTCCAAAATAAAAAATAAAAATTGGTCTGAAGGAAGCCGGCCCGACTTCCCACTTCCCTTTGTTTTTTTTTATTATTATTTTAAAAAACTATAATTTAATAAAAATACTAAATTGTATAATCTTAATTTTCTTCGTATTTGGAAAATAGGTCATGTCTTACCTACCATGGGCCAACTTTAAATTTCCTCCATATTTTAGATATGATGTTGGATAGGTTTAGATAATAACCTTGTTTGTTTTGTAGGTAAATTTATAATGATGTTGGAGAATATTTAAATAGATATGTTATTGACTTTCTTAAATGCTCGAAAATTATATATTTGTTCCAAAAATAGTTGTTACTTATATTCATGCAATTTATACGTTGATTTTTATGTTTTAATTAATTTAATAATTTTTTATCGATTTAGTTTATAATAAACTTAAATGTTATTTTATAGAACATATCAAGATAAAGCACAAGAAGCTGAAAGGCATTTTAAGCATCGAATTGGTTTTAATCTAATTTTAAACTTTCAGACTTTAAATGACATTTTAATCAAAATTTAAAATTTAGTAACAAAAATAAAAAATTTAATCTCATCTTAATTAAATTTTGCAATATTAATAAAATAACAATAAAAAATAAAAAAATAAAAAGGTTGAAATCGCCTACAATGTAGGCAACTTCCAAAATTAAAAAATAAAAAATAAAAAGGTTTACACGTTTACACGGAAATTGCAGACATTGTAGGCTAGTTTTGAGTTTTACTTTGACCTAACATATTTTTGTCAATAGTTTTGAAAACCCAACTTTCTCTTGAATTTATTTATTTAAATTATTACATTTATTTTGTTATTATTTTTACACTAACATTACTATTAGTAATTTATTTTTAAAACTACATTATTTAAAACTTTGTCCCTTCTTTAACAGATTTTAAATTTGTTTAAAAAAAACTGTTTTTATATGTTTTTTTTTTTCTAATTTGTTAGATATTTTATACCTAATATTAGGTGTTGGATTTAACGTTTGATATCTTTTTTTAAAACAAAAGTTTGATATCCTTTGTTCGCATTATTTAATTGTAGCATTGTATTCAAATGGAAGATGAAGATATGTCAATAAAACAATCCCAAACATGAAGATATGTCAATAAAATAATCCCAAACACAAGTACCAAGTTCATCTACGTTTTTCTTAAAAAAATTCAAAACAAAACAAAACAAAAAGTCTACCTCCGTTTGTTATAAAGTTCCTTTATAATTGAAAAGAACTAATTTTATAAATTTTTTTTTCTAAAACTTAATTCATGACCATAAATTTTTAATTTATATAGCCCTACTACTTTACAATTTCTACCTACGTACATCACACGTGTTAGAAAAATTAGTTAATTAAATTAAAAGTCTTTATAACTATGCTAAGTTAGTACAAATCAAAGCTAAATTCACACAACCAAGAAAATATTCAAAGTAATAAACCACGAGATAAAATTAGCGGGCGTTACAACTATAGTATTGAAGTTTTGTTTGTCAATTTGTCTTTGTTGGCTTTTTGACCCTTAATCTAATTAATTAATGTTTTGATGATAACAAACACACTTAGTATTAATTGTTTTTGGTGTATAATAATTATTGTTATAAAGCATAAATTTATTATCAGCTTCAATAATATTATATAATTTACTGATAAAAGTTTAACAAAGAGTTTTTAATATTTTGAAGTGTCCACAGCGTAGAGCTCGTTACAACGACTCCAACGACGATTGGATCACCCAAATTGGAGCTCAAACGGAGAAATTATGGTCGAATGAAATTAGAAAGAAAAATACCCGAGGTGGATGACGTGGCGGCTGACTCAACTAAGTGGACCAATGAGAAAGCGACATGTGGCATTATTTGAAATGAAAATTGATGGGATGTGAATCCCAGAGCGGAAGCTCATCAATTTTGAAAAACAAAATCAAACGTTCAACAATGAAACACATGGGAAAAGTTGTTTTACCTTTGAAGAACTTTTCTTCAATGGATTAAACAACGAACACCACCAAACGATCTTCCGTGTATCCTATTGGGTCTCGAGAACACACTTGTGGGAGCGTTTGTTTGGAAATGAGAGGGAGAATTGAGAGAGTTTGAGGGTGAGAGAGTATCCTTACTCTTACCATGGAAGAAAA